CCCGCTCAGCTGCTGCAGGTTGAGGGGCCCCCAGGTTTGTTGTTGCTGCTGCTGCAGCGGCTGCTGCTGCGCGCAGCTCAGCAGCAACTTTGACTCCTCTTTTTGTTTTTTGTTTCCTTTGTTAAATCTCGAAGACATTTCATTTTGCTGCTGCCTTTTTAGAGCTGTTTAGCCTCAGCAGCAGCAGCAGCAGCAGCAGCAGCAACAGCAGCAGCAGCAGCAGCAGCAGCAGGAGCTGCACAGACAGCAACATTGATGGATTCGACNCAGCAGCAACAGCAGCAGCAGCAGCAGCAGCAGCAGGAGCTGCACAGACAGCAACATTGATGGATTCGACCAGATACAGAGCCGTCCCTGTTCAGGAGTATCAGCAACAGCAGCTGCTGCTGCTGCGGCATCTGCAGCTGCAGGAGCAGCGGCAGCAGCAACAGCAGCAGCACAGCTGCCAGCAGCGACACCAGCAGCAGCAGCAGCAGCAGCAGCAACTGCAGCAGCAGCAGCAAGTCTCGCTGCCGCCTCGTGCTGCTCACCTTTGGGCGCAGCAGCAGCAGCCCCGAGGGCCGCCTGTAGGGCTACGGAACCTCAACAGCAACAGCTGGTGCAGCAGCAGCAGCAGCAGCAGCAGCAGCAGCAGCAGCAATGGCGAGCGCTACGTTGGCAGCTACAGCTGCAGCAGGCAGCACAGCGGAGACCGCAGCAGCAGCAGCATCAGCAGCCGCAGCAGCTGCAGGCAGCAGAGACACACAGTTGCTGTTACGCCGCTAGACAGAGCTCCTGCTGCTGCTGCTGCTGCTGCTCATGGCTGCTACGGCTGTCCTGATGCTGCTGCTGCGGCAGCAGCAGCAGCAGCAGCAGCACAACCAGCAGCAGCAGCAGCAGCAGGAGTCGGCTTGAAGAGACCAGCAGGGGCCCCTGTACCCCATCGGGGGGCCCTTCATTTTAGTGTGCAGCAGCAGCGGCAGCAAGAGCTGCAGCAGCTGCAGCAGCTCCAGCATCAGCAGCAGCTGCAGCAGCAGCAGCAGCAGCAGCAACAGCAGCAGCATCACTACTATCAGAACCTGCAATATCAGCAGCAGCAACAGTACCAACAACAACTGCAGCAGCAGCAGCAGCAGCAGCAGCAGCAGCAACAGCAGCAGCAGCAGCAGCAACAGCAGCAGCAGCNCTGCAGCAGCAGCAGCAGCAGCAGCAGCAGCAGCAACAGCAGCAGCAGCAGCAGCAACAGCAGCAGCAGCTGCGGCAGCGCCGCAGCAGCAGCAGCAGCTGCACCCTCCAAGGGAAATGCGTTGTCTTGAGTGTGGCTCAAGAGAAGCCTGCTGCAGCAGCAGCAGCAGCAGCAGCAGCAGAAGCTGCTGCAGCAGCAGCGGCAGCAGCAAAGACAGCTGAACGCCTGAAGAGGCAGCAAATGCCTAGCCTATTGAATGAAGGTCCAGCAGCAACAGCAGCAACAGCAACAGCAGCAGCAGCAACGCTAGCTGCAGCACACCCGCCTGCAGCAGCAGCAGCCCCAGCAGCAGCAGCAGCAGCGCCAGCAGCAGCACCAGCAGCACCAGCAGCACCAGCAGCAGAACGGAGGCCTACGGCAGGAACAGCCATCACAGAGAGACGCGTAGCTACAGCAGCAGCAGCAACAGCAGCAGCAGCAACAGCAGCAGCAGCAACAGCAACAGGAGCAGCAGCAGTACCGTCCGATCCCGCAGCAGCAAACGCAAGAGCTGCAACTGCAGCAAGTGCAGCAACTGCAGCAGCAGCCAAATGCCCAGCAACAAAAGCAGCAGCAACAACAGTAACAGCAGCAGCAGCAGCAGCAGCAGCAGCAGCAGCAAAAGCAGCAGTATCGGATCGTCCTCACGGTCGACTCCAGCTAGAAGCAGCAGATGCCCTTGCCGACAGCAGCAGCAGCAGCAGCAGCAGCGGCAACCGCAGAAGCAGCAACCGCAGCAGCAGCATCCGCAGCAGCAGCATCCGCAGCAGCAGCAGAAGCAGCAACAGCAGAAGCAGTAGCAACAGCAGCAGCAGCAGCAGCAGAGAGGAGATCTGTGCGTCTCTCCCTGCTGAGCTGCTGATAGAGAAAGCTGCTGCTCCAAGCAGCAGCAGCAGCAGCAGCAGCAGACGCAGCTGCCCATCGATGCTGCGAGGCAGCAGCAGCAGCAGCAGCAGCAGCACATGCGACGAGACGGCCTCCTACAGCAGGAGCAGCAGCAGCAGCAGCAGCAGCAGCAGCAGCTCTTGCTGCTGCGGAGACACCCCGTTGTGGTCGAGCGATGAGGAGACAAAGGAAAGTCGGCAGCAGCAGCAGCAGCATAACAGAGGAGCGCAGCAGCAGCAGCAGCAGCAGCAGCAGCAGCAGCAGCAGCAGCTGGAGCAGGAGCAGGAGCAAGAGCAGCAGCAGCAGCTGCAGCAGCAGCAGCGCGAGGACGTAGAGATAGCAGTGCAGCAGCAACAGCAGCAGCAGCAGCAGCAGCAACAGCATTTCTATAGGACTGGCGACTGCCAGGAGCCGTTGCTGCAGGAGCAAGGGCAGCAGCAGCAGCAGCAGCAGCAGCAACAGCAGCAGCAGCAACAACAGCGAGACAAAGAACAGCAAGAACAGCAGCAGCAGCTGGATAACAAACAGCAGCAGCAGCAGCAGCAGCAGCGAGACAACGAACAGCAGCATCTGCAGCAACTGCAGCAGGAGCAGCACTCGTCGCGTCTCAGCAGCACAGACAAAGACATTGCCAGCAGCAGCAGCAGCAGCAGGAGCAGCAGCAGCAGGAGCAGCAGAAGCAGCAGCAGCAGCATCCGGAAGAGCCAACGTAGATGCAGCAGCAGCAGCAACAACAACAGCAACAGCAGCAGCAGCAACAGCAGCAGCAGCAGCAGCAGCAGCAGCAGCTTTGCAGAGCTGCAGGCGGAGCTGGGCCGCTGCCAGGCTGCATGCAAGGAGCAGCAAGAAGCACTTGCGCAGCAGCAGCTGCTGTTGGAGCAGCAGCAGCACACGATGATGCAGCAGCAGCGCCTCATTCAGCTGCTGCGCCTTCGTCTTGCTTCTTTAGGTATATCTGCTGCAGCAACCTCCCCACGTGCTGCTGCTGCTGCTGCTGCTGCTGCTGTTGCTGCTGAGGAAGACAACCCAGCGGAGCAACAGCAGCAGACAGAATGCAGCAGCAGCAGCAGCAGCAGCAGCAGCAGCAGCAGCAGGGGAGAGTATACAGCTCGGTCTTGGGAGGCTGAGCGAGGCCTACAAGAGCTGCAGCAGCAGCTGGAGCTGGAGCAGCAGCTAGAGGTGCAGCAGCAGCTGCAGCAGCAAAAGCAGCAGCAGCAGCAGCAATGCTACACACAGTATTTTGTTCTATCTAGCGGCAGCAACAGCAGCAACAGCAGCAACAGCAGCAGCAGCAGAAACAGCAGGCAAGTATCAGACGGCAGTGCTGGCTGCAGCAGCGGCGACGTCTCTCCCCACAGCAGCAGCAGCAGCAGCAGCAACAGCAGCAGCAGCAGCAGCAGGAGCTTCAGCTTGGCCAGCAGCAGGAGCAGCAGGTCGATTGACTGCCCCTACCAAGAGATGCAGCAGCAGCAGCAGCTGCAGCAGCAGCAGCAGAAGCAGCACCAACAAGAACAACAACAGAAGCAAAACTACCAACAGCAGCAGCAGCAGCACGAGCAGCAACAGAAGCAGCAGCAGCAACAGCAGCAGCTCCTATACGACGCAAGCTACGAGCGGCACGCAGCAGAAGCGGCCTCAGCAGCAACTGCTGCAGCAGCAACTGCTGCAGCAGCAACAGCAGCAGCAGCAGCAGCAGCACCAGCTGCTTCTGCTGCTGTCCTCTCTGGCTGGCTCGCAGCACGTTCCCCCAATGGCTATCCCCGCAGCGTATGCAACCCGCTAACAGCAGCAGCAGCAGCAGCAGCAGCAGCAAAAGCAGCAACGGCAGCAGCAACACCAGCAAGTACAACAGCATCAGCAGCAGCAGCAGCAGCAAGAGCCCCTGAAGCAGCTTCTCCCGGTGTACATACACCTGCTGCTGGCTGCAGCAGCGCATACCCAAGAGCAGCAACAGCAGCAGCAGCAGCAGCAGCAGCAGCAGCAGCAGCAGCAGCACCTGCTGCTGCAGCTGCTGCTGTATCGCCACATGGGGTATTGCCTCGCCTAGTGCTGCCGGCTGCTGACGCAGCAGCAACAGAAGCAGCAGAAGAAGCAGCAGCAACAGAAGCAGCAGCAGAAACAGAAGCAGCAGCAGCAACAGAAGCAGCAGCAGCACATACAGAAACAACAGGGGGCAAAGTAACTACAGAAGCACCAGCAGCAGAAGCAGCAGCAGCAGCAGCAGCAGCAGCTGCTGCTGCTGCTGCTGCTGTTCCAACTCCAGAAGAAGCAACAGGAGGAACAGCAACAGCAGAAATAGCAGCAGCAGCAGCAGCAGCAGCAGCAGGAGAAGCAGCAGCAGCAGCAGCAGCAGACCAGTGGCTGCAGCAGTGGCTGCAGCGGCCCAACCGCCATGGGGCCCTCAGCGCCTCCTCCAGCTCCAGGTCCTCTTCTGACGACAGTGAGGGGGAGCAGCAGCAGCAGCAGCAGCAGCAGCAGCAGCAGCTGCAGCAGCC